TCCATCCATCCATCCATCCATCCATCCATCCCACCCACCCATTCCATCCATCCATCCATCCTGTCTGTCCATCTCATCCATCCATCCATCCATCCATCCATCCTATCTCTACCTACCTGCCTATCACCCAGTCAACAAATATCTATTGTCACCTACTATGTGCTGGGTACCTGGCAAAGTCCATGCCTGATTTATTTCAAGGCACTGCAGACATCCCCAACCTCTCATACATGCTAGCCCTCTCTGGGGACGGTGGCGTCTCCTCTGATGACTGGGTCATGGTTCCAGTTCCCTAGCAGATACACAGTGTCAGTCCAGGAGGCCGACTGCAGCTGTGCCGTGTGTGTGTGTGTGTGCACGTGCAAGTGTGTGCAAGTGTGTGTGTGTCATATCTTTGCATCCTGCTGCCCAGCCTGGCCCCGTGCTTTCATGCCTGGCACAGAGGAGGGGCTCAGGAAATGGTCCGGGTGGCACGTCCAAGACAGGCAGGGACAGGAGAGAGACGAAGCCAAGAGGAGAAGGAGGGCAGGAGGAGAAGCCTGAGTAGGAGCTGAAGGCACCTGGGGGAAACAGGGGCGGCGTCCCGGCACCCGACCCCTGGGCTGGAGGCTGGGCATCTCGGGCTCGTGGCTGGCCCACTGTGCCAGGCCCTGGCTTTCCCCCAGCCTGGCACGCCCGGTCTCCAACATCCTGCCCTCCGCCTCCAGGGCAGGCAGCGTCATTCCCCGGGAGGAGGGAGGGCTGGGTGCCCTCCGAGGAGGGGGCTGGACGCGGCACCCACCACGAGTACGCGAAGCAGAGGAAGAAGGGAACCGAGACAGCCAGCTGCAGCAGCATCCAGTCCCGCACCCCGTAGGCCACCGCGGCCATCAGGATCTGGCCAAAGCTGAAGCCCAGGGAGTTCAAGGTCATCGCCAGAGTCCGGGCCGGGGCCCCCGTCCACTCCATCACTGTGAAGAGACCAAAGAGTCGGCCCAGAGCCCACGCCCTGCACCCCCCCCACGTGGAACCGGGCCAGGGACCTACGGAGGGTACTGGTGTTCATCATCACGCCCGCCAAGGCGAAAGCCAGCAGGAAGCGGAAGGTGCAGTAGGCCGGG